AGAGATAGATAGAGAGATATAGATAGAGAGATAGAGAGATAGATAGAGAGATAGAGAGTTAGAGATAGAGATAGAGATATATTAAAGAAACATCATCTATCCATTATCCCTTGCCCGCTTCAGTGCTTTAATTGCTGTGCTGTTTTTTGACTTGCCTTCCAAATTTCTCCCTTTGATCTATACCTCTCTCTATATGTATCTGCCTCTTGAATGTTTAATCTAGGTCTTCCTCCCATCTCGGCCCTCTTTCACTGCATAGTCCCATTGTTGTCTATCAATTTCAAAGGGGTAATTTTAGCAAAAGTTAGAAAATTCTCATCCAGTCACCACACCGTTCTTTCAATCTCTCCTCATTCTTCTACGTTCGGGCTGTCACAGCCTTGGATGGCACTCAATGGCCTCTTTTTCCTTCTTGCCAGCTTGAGAGCTTTCCTGGATCAAACAAGAAGTTTGGGACCTCCTTGTGATCTGTAGGGTTTTGTCTCTCCTTCACCACCCCTCCAAGGTGGCTTAGGTCTGTTGGCACCAGCTGGTAAGGGGAATTCAATGAACCTCCACAGATCCCTATAGAGGGATCATCGTACCACCTTGACATCATCTCTGTCTTCTGTTATTCTATCTTCTATGTCTTTTTACATTTGAATCTTTCTTCTACAGTTATCTAACGTGAAAATATGCTTATTTGTAGCACAGGTGTTACCACTATCTTCAAAAGTATAAAATAAACATTCAGGAAATTATGTCAATCATATTGTCAGATTTCCAAAAGATGCCCTAATTGGAAAAAAAAATGTCAACAAAATAAGTAATTTCAAAATTTATCAATGATACGGGATGATCAATGATATCTATTCCAAAGTATCTTGATTGGATAAGGGAAGGTACAGCACTCTTCTAATTAATGGAAGATTAAGATCTCTTCACTGTTATTTCAGAGTGTCAGGTATAGAAACATGAACTCAGTTACAAGAGAGAAGATTCTGGATAATAAGAGGAAAAACACGCTAGAACAGTGGTTCTCAACCTGTGGGTCGGGAGCCCTTTGGGGGTCGACTAGACCCTTTCACAGGGGTCACCTAAGACCATCGTAAAACACATATTTCCGATGGTCTTAGGAACCGAGACACCAATTTTATGGTTGGGGGTCACCACAACACGAGGGACTGCATTGAAGGGTTGCGGCATTGGGAAGGCTGGGAACCGCTGCACTAGAAGGAGGAGCCATTTTAGAGCTGAGCCTCAAAGAGAAGCCTTCAGTCTCCCCTTCACTGACCGTCTTAATGCAAAGACCAAGTGTTAAGCTTTATCAGAGTTCCCTTCCTTCTCCCCTTCGGAGGCATTCTCCAAAGCATCCTTGTCTGGGCCCCCTTACCTGCCATGCCTGCAGCCTTGGAACCCCCGAACCCTCTTTGCCCTCCTTCCTCCTCCGGGACCTGGAGGCATACGCAGCACCCACGGCCTGGGCCAGAGTCTCGATGACACTGTGAACGTGGTGGTTAAATGGGACCCGGATCCTGTCCCTTTCCCCTCGGGCCTCCAGGGGCGCTTTCTGGGTGCATCTGCTTCGGCCTTTGTGCTTCGAAAAAGAACAGTGGAAATAATGACCTTCGCTCTGGGGTTCCACAAAGATGTTGGGGTCAAAGGGACCATCGCCCGACCATTTCTTCCCCTGGAATGAAAAGCTTGAAATACTATGGATGTATTTATAAGCTCTGTCCTTTTTCATTGGGTATATTCCCAAACTTGTCGTGATCCAGACTTTCCCTTCAATGGGTCCTGGCAAACTCGTAAGTGTTAAGTGGAACCAAAGGATTCTCTCCATGAGGGAAACATATTCTGTGAATTGGACAAAGACGTTGACTTGTCTCCACTTAGAGAGGGCCTCCCTGAAGGATGCCGTAGGCGGAACCGTTGAGACTCGCTGTGACATCACAACAAAGATCCCATTCCTGAAAAGCACAGGGACAAAAGTCCTCATGAAATTCTCTCCCTTCTCTGTGTCTGAAGCGAAGAGGCCGATCAGGGTCCACCTGAAATGGAGGAGCAGTTGGAGAATTCCTGGGTACTCAATTCCTTCTTTGGGGAGCATCCTGTGGAAAAAGGGGAATTGGCTTTTATCACTCAGGGCCTCTGAAACAGTCGCATAGCTGATCTGGAAAAGTGATGAAGAAGCAGAACTGCATTATATGTGATGTAATATATCCAGCAGTTCTATATTTTCAGCCCCAGCTTGACATAAAAGGTTTGGGGTAACCCTGGCCTTATATACTTGAATAAACGGGGCTAAGTTAGTTAGCTAGAACTTTTTACATTTGAGCAATAACTTCACTTGGCCCTCGGAGGAAGCTACTCCCCAGTTAAGGAAAGGTGTTAATTTCCCCTAATGGCTCATCATTGAACAGCCATCTATGATGCCATTTAAGACCAAAACTTTTGATTTTTGATTATTAATAGTCAAAGTACCATCATGAGAATAGGAGTCAATATTTTTTTAACAGTTAACGTTAAACAGTTGAGTCTCAGCTTGTAGTAAGGTTTTACTCTATGTATTTAGTCCCTTAGACAGGGTTCTTCAGAATCCTCCGGTAGACCCAATAAGTCATTGATGTATACAGACTAAATAACCAGGGTCCAAGGATGCAGCCGTATCTGCCCCTTGGAGAGCATCGACTCTTCTCGTCATGGCTCCATTGAGCCCAAACTTCACTCTCACCCAAGGGCTGCTAGGAAAAGGGGGCTGACCGAGGCCTGCAGCCCGAGTTCCCTCTTTAGGGCAATCAGTATTTCCCTGCTCTCTGTGTCAGATTCTGCACTGAGATCTATAAAAGCAACAAAACGTTGTTTCCCCTGACTGATGCATTTCGTAATTAGATGGTTCAATAAAAGACAATTTATTTAGACTGAGAACCGGCAGTAATGCCGGCAGCAATCCACCCCTGGATTGGACACAGAACTTCTCTTCACAAGTGTGTAGCAGGAGCCCCCAAAGCAATGAGGATGGTGTCATAAGAGGATCCTTGCCCCCCTCCCCACTGCGGATCTCAATCCACAGCCATGACTGGCCATTATGAAAGGCAGCCATTGAATTCAAAACAGAAGATGTGGTTGAATCTATCAGTCACCCACACCATCCCACTCACTTTACCAGATGAAGAAACACACATGTACACACACACACACACACACACACACACACACACACACCTGGGGGGCTTTGTAGGTGCCTACAAAGTTTGACATCTGGATGGTGATGTCCCTTTTAGCTGCATCAAGAAGGGCCAGAAGGCGGTCCTCTCTGCCACAGCCGTAGTTGGGGACGTTGGCTTCTCCAGTGGAGAGCAGGTCCAGCAAGGCCTCTGAAGTGCCGAGGTTGCTCAGATAGTTGTCGCGGATGTTGTAGCCGAGTGTGAGGTTGTGCAGAAGCTGAGGGTTCTTGTTGACCGTTTGAAAGGTGAAAATGATGCGTAGGAGCAGAGGCAGATAAGTATATGTAGGACTGTAGAAATATGTTCAGATTATCATCATCACTACCCACAGCAGTGACAAATTTTTATTTATTTATTCCTCTTTCTTTAGACATATTTAGTATATTGAGCCTCAAGTCAAGACTGATTGAAAAAACAGAGGCGAATGATAGTCACATATCATCATTAATTTTTTTTGGGGGGGGAGTATTGAGATGATGGGCTGGAGATGCTTCTCCCCCAGGGTTAATAGTCACAAATATAACCGCTATTTATACTTGTGATTTTCATTTATCCAATAACCAGAATTCAAAACCTAGCATTCAATTGTTAAATTAGAACCACCATTAAAGGAGTTTTCATAAATGACCTAGAAAAGCCATTGAATTCTCATGAGCAGTTATGAAAGTATGGAAATGGGCCAGTCGGCTAAACCTTTTCAATAATTACTGTATACAATAAAATAATAATGTACCTAGTACTCAAGTGATGGATTTAGGATTGGGCAGGAAGGGGAAATGGAATTATTTTAGGGGGGGGGTGTTCTTCCCCATCCTTGGATTTGAGCTATTTCTACAAAGTCAGGCGAAAGAGGGAAGCCACGGAAACCAAAACATTTCAAGAAACTAGACAAGTCTGCAATATAAAAGTAAAATGTAACAAGAAGGAAAGAAAAAGCTATTGGAACTGCAAATAGAAGGAATGAAACTCCATCACAAGGGGCCACTTACAAGTGAGACTGCCTAGAAGGAGGTGTGTTGAAAAGCAACGTTGTATGTGGTATTGTGGTTGCAGAGAT